AAAAAAAAAAAAAAAAAAAGTCTGGGGCTCTAAGGACTGGGAAGAGAGAATGGGAACTTGATGAGCAAATAGCAGGGAAAGAATCAAGAAGAGGCCGGGCTCGGTGGCTCAGCCTGTAATCCCAGCACTTTGGGAGGCTGAGGCGAGTGAATTGCCTGAGCCTGCGGGTTCGAGACCCTTCTGGGCAACTTGGCGAGACTTCGTTTCTACAGTAAAAATAAAAAATTAGCTGAGCGTGTAATTCTGGCTACTTGGAAGACTGAGATGGAAGGATTGCCGGAGCCCAGCAGGCCGAGGCTGTGGTGGCCGAGGGCATGCCACTGCACTCCACTCCAGTCTGGGCGACAGAGTGAGACTCTAACTCAAAAAAATAAAAAAGAATCAAGAAGAAGGTGTGGGAAAGGATAAAGAGGTGAGAAAGGTGTCAGGAAGAAAGGGCTAGAGGAGAGAGGAAGGGGAGAGGGAAGGCCCAGAGCCAGAAGCTGAGGAGCTTGATGTGGAATGGGTTGGGCCTTAGCTCCCCTCCAGGCCTGTGGACTGGTGCAGCGTCAGAGGCTGCAAGGGATCAGACTGGGCCTGTGAAGGGCAGACATAGAACTGAGGCTGCTAGCTCTGGTTGCTTGTGGGGTTCTTGTCTGCCATGGCAAGAGGGCCTTCCCCTGCCAGGCACCTTGTGGAACCAAGTGGCAGGCAGGAGTCAGTGGAGGCCCCCAGGAGAGCAGACTCCCTCAGGAGAGGGGATGGAAATGGCAAGTGTCACAGGACAGCAGGGGCAGGCAGATTCATGCAGTAGATTGAGGGAAGGGCAGTGCTGGGATCTGGAGTTACCATGGGGCCAAGCTGCTACTGTTTTTTTTTGAGTTGGAGTCTCACTCTGTCGCCCAGGCTGCAGTGCAATAGCATGCTCACAGCCACCGCAGCCTTGACCTGCTGGGCTCAGGTGATCCTTTCAAGTAGCTGGAACCAGAAGCATGCACCACCACACCCAGCTAATTTTTTGATGCCAAGTTGCACAGGCTGGTCTTGAACCCCTGGGCTCAGGCAATCCTCTCGCCTCTGCCTCCCAAAGTGCTGAAATTACAGGAGTGAGCCACCATGCCTGGCTAAGCTGCTACTTTTGAAGTAGAAACATTTCAGGGGAGGGGAGCGGGTAGTGGTAGCAGTTGAATTTGTTGAGGCTTTAGATTGAGCTGTGGGGAAACCCAGAGGCATCTGCTGCTGCCCTGAGTGACCCAGACCCCTCCTCCCACAGGTGACTACAAGGAGACTGACAGATGCTGCTGGAAACACAAGCAGTGCATGGGGCATCTCATCTACCCCTTCACCTCTGACTATGGCCACCCCAGCCTGCACCTACACTCTCTCAACCACTGCGACTGTAATTCTAGGTGAGGGGCCCCTCCTCGGGGGACCCCATGGCAGAGCCAGGTCCAAACTTCCATTGTGGTTCTCCTCTCCAACCTTTGGTTTCCCTCTTCAGCTTTGACCTGGTGCTGCCAGTCCAGCCCCAGGTCTGGCAACCTTGCTCTGCTCCTAGAGCAATGGGGAGGAGGCATGTTGGCAGCCAGGGCCAAGCCAGCAGAAGCCCACTGTCCCTCAGGCTTCTTGCTGTGGGCTTCTGGGGAGTGATGGGGGCATGGGAGCCAGGCTCAGAGCCCTGTGTGTGGCAGGGTGAAGGACTGCTCAGAGAAGACAAACAGCAGCAGCTCCCAAGATGCAGGGCCAGCCTGCTCCCAAGATGTGGGCCCGACCTGCTTCAACATCATTCCATCCCCTTGCTTTGAGCTCATCCCGGAGGAGGAGTGTGTGGAGCAGTTCTGGTACGGCTGGTGAGTGGGTCCCAGCGGCTGATGAGGGAAAGACCCTGATGGGACACTTCCCTCAACTCCCTGTCAACCTTCTCTTCCCCCATCCCCCTCCTCCCAGGTGCAAAAGCTACAATCCTGTTTCCCTGGCAGTGATCCACCATCCCCTCCACCACAAGTGTGGGGCAGATGACATCAATGAAGAGGAAGAGGAGGAAGAAAGCAAGCCTCCCATCCCGACCCAGGTGGGACCCACCACCACACCCCCTGACACAGGCACCAGCACTGTCACTGGCACCCCTGACTCAGCAGCACCCATCACCATTTGGCGCTCTGAGAGCCCCACAGGGAAGAACCAGAGCAGCAAGGTGATCAAGAAGGTAAAGAAGAAAAAGGAGAAGGACAGAGAGGAGGAGACAGATGAGAAGGCAAAGCTGAAGAAAAAAGCCAAGAAGGGCAAGCTGACGAAAAAGAAAAGCCCAGTTAAATCAGAGTCTTCACCTCCAGACCTGAGCAGATCATTAAGCCCAAGAGAGCTGGCCAGGATGTCTGAGTCCAGCCCAGAAAGCCGGGAAGAACTGGAGAGTGAGGACAGTTACAATGACCGGGGGCAGGAGGAACCCTCCAGTGAGGACATTGTGGAGTCGTTATCGCCCAGGAAGAGAGAGAAAAACACGGTCCAGGCCAAGAAGACTGGGGCAAGGCCCTCACAAGCCAGGAAGGTAAACAAGAGGAAATCGCCCCCAGGATCAAACCCCAATCTCAGTTGAGGCCAGGGCTATCAGGGTGAGAAATAAATGAATCAGGCCTGTAGCTGACCCCCTGCTGCCGTCCTCTTTCCCTCCCACCTGGCTACTTACTGGGGGAGGGGTGGGCTGGGAGGTTGTAGGGGCTTCTGAAGGGCAGTCCAGCTTTCAAGGAGGGGAAGCCCATGGGAAGGTAAATAGGAGGGGAAGGAAAGGGGCACAGCCTTAATTCCTCCTAATACCCTAGGACCAGGGTGGAAGAGTACCTGTGGGGTGGAGGAGGGAGGCCTTCTCCCACCTGGGAGACTGGTCTATGTGAAATCCACCTCTAGGGTGGAAAGTACAATCTGCAGTAATATCCCCAATAAACAGAACCTTTTAACCCATTATGCCACTGTGCCTGGCCTTTCCCTTCTCTAAGTGGGGAAGGTGCTCGTGGCACCCAGGGGACTGCCCTTTTCAGCTGGTGTGGTCCCAGTCCTGGGAGATCCCTGTAGACCTTTTATGCTTCAGGGAGGCCCCTCTCCCAGATCTTGATGAAGAAGGGGGAGGAGGGAGTGCACCAAGTCTGGGCAGCAGTGGCCTTTTATGACTTCTCTGCTGAGCCCCAAGCAGAGGAAAGGGAGGTGGAAGTTTCACTCTCCCAGTGCTGACTCACAAAGCTGTGAGACACAGTCCTTGTGAAGAAACAGGGACATCAAGAGTCCAGAATGAAAAACACAGTGGTGCTGGGGTGAGAGGCCAGGGCCAGTGGATGTATGAGAGCAGGTAAGCTTGGGATGCCTCCTGCTCCAGGCAAAAACATCTGACTTAGAGGTTGTCAGAGACAAAGGTCCAGCTGGGAAAAAGAAGAAATGGCGCAGGGGCTCAAGTTGATTAATCCAGAAGTACTTGTGGCCTTTCTCCAGTACACCAGAGAAGACTAGTAGGCAATGGAGGGGGTGGCTGTATGTGAGTGAATGTAATAAAAGCAGATGCCATTAACGAGGTACAGGTACTGGGCCAAGGAGCTTACACACACTCTATCTCGGTCCTCACAGTGGCCAGTGAGGCAGGTATCACTCTCCATGTTACAGATAAGAGAGCCAGCTGAAAGACAACAGGAGCTGGCACAGGGACACAAGGCTACAATGTACAGCAGGGGTGTGCCCCAGGCGGTCTGATACAGGAGCTGGCTGTTCTATGAATCTTTGCCTCTGGTGGATCAGAAGAGGGGGAACACTCAGAGCTCCACACACTGTTTTGAAAGTCACCCTCACAGAGCCGGAGGGCTGGAGAGAAAGGCTTTGGCAGGAGCTCTGTAGAAACACTGTTTATTCAAATGACAGGCAGGAAGCGGCGGCAGCAGCAGGTGGGGGGGCAGCCAGGCAGGGTTGGGCAGGTCAGTGCTGCTCCTCTATGTCCCCTGCTATCCTGCTTTGACAGCCACCCAGGCTGTTGGCAAGGTCAGAAACACTTTCCCTCCTCTTCCTCCTGCCCTAAACTGAATAAATAGCATCCCTCTCCCCAAGAGCTAGGGGAGACTCATGTGCTGAGCTTGGAGCCTCAGTCACAGCCCAGAGTCAGGTGAGGGCAAAAGTTCAAAATGGCTTGTAGGGAGCAGAATACAAAACAGTTCCACTCTCATTCTCACTTCCTCCTCCTCCTCCCTGCCACACTCCCCTCCCAGCCTGGTCCCAGGTCTGGTGGTCGGTGAGAGTCTGGAGTGGGAGAACTGTAGCCTAGCATACACTGAGCTCAAGTTCACAAGGCCATCCAGCCTGTCACCCATCCAGGCTGACCACCAAAGAGAACGTCACTTACGCCACTTTATGGACAGAAAAGGAGGGGCAGGGAGGGAGGCAGTGGGCGGCCAGGCCTTTCACAGCCTCAGAGGTAACCAAAGTCCGAGGAGCAGGCCTCCTACCGATCCATCTCATCCAGGAGTGGGGTGGCATCGCCAGCAATGGACATGGGGGTGCTTTCGATCATGGGGCTGGGGGACGGCCGAGGTGTCAGCCGCTGCTTCTGTTTCCGCCGTTCTGCCTCCTTCTCCTGCAGCCACTGCTCTGCCATCTTCCCCCAGTCGATAGCTGCATGGCTGTTGGACCTGGGAGGGGGACGAAAGGGCCTTAGAGACTGGGACTCTCCAGGGCTAGAAGGAAGCCTTCCCACCAATCATTGGTGAATGCCCACCCTTGCAGAAAGGGACCTCACACCTATGGGCATAGGCCTCTCTGCTAGGGTGAGGTGGAAGCAGCAGAAGCTAGCTGCCACACTGCCCTCTTCCATCTCCAAACCAGTGAGGGACACCACTTGGGTCATGGCTCTCAGAGGATCCAAAGCACTTGCCTGCACTACGTCTCTTGGTCTCTTGACAACTAGTCCCTGCTAGTTACCTACTCTGTGCCACCATCCAGATACTTACTTTGGCTGCTGCTGCCGTTGCCGGGAGCTGGAGGAGGGCTGGGGCTGGGCCTGGGCAGACTGTGGGGTGGTGCTGGCCTGGAGCTGATGGTACTGTGGTGTAGTGATGGGCTGGCTCGGGGTCGTGTAGGAGTAGCTGGGGGTCATTAGCGGTGTGGCCACTGGCTGCTGGGCTGGCGTTGGGAACACCTGGAGAGGCATGAATGGTTACATGGGGATGGGTTTTGGGCTTGCTGTGAATTTCTGGCAAACTGCAAGGGTAGGCTCAGCACAGAGCTTTCCAGCTGACCCTCCCCTGAGCAGGATGTGATTCTGAACAGTACACAGAAGCCAGCAGGCATGCCATGGGGGCCATCAGCCCTGACCGACTCAGGTTTCTTTTCTTTCTTTTTTTGAGTTGGAATCCCACTCTGTCGCCCAGACTGGAGTGCCGTGGCACGCTCCTGGCCACCCCAGCCTCGACCTGCTGGGCTCTAGTGATACTTCCACCTCAGCCTTCCAAGTAGCTAGAACTACAGGTGTGCGCTACCATGCCTGGCTAGTTTTTGATTTATTGTAGAGACGAGGTCTTGCCAACTTGCCCAGGTGGGTCTCAAACCCACGGGCTCAGACAATCCACTCGCCTCGGCCTCTCAAAGTGCTGGGATTATAGGCTGAGCCACTGAACTCGGCCCAACTCAGGTTTCTAGTGGCTTGAGGGGTTTAAAGACCCCACGGACTCTGGAAAGGTCATGCCCTTTTATTCCTTCCCCCTCAAATGGGCCTGAGAAAAAGGAACACCTGTTGGAGACAGTTCTCAAGGCACGGTGGCTCCAGCTGTGCCCTTGTAGTGGGCACTGCCAGAGGCCAGTCTATAGGATGTGGGCTGTTAAAGGATGACTTCCCTTTCACCCCTCCCTACCCTCCTCCCCAAGCCACATACATGGTAAGCACTGCTGCCACCTCCACTGCCACCATAGCCATACTGGCTGGAGGCCCACTGAGCTGGAGTGGCGTTAGGGTTCTGTCCTTGGCCTGTCACAGCAGCAATGGCACTAAACATCTGCGAAGTCATGTTTTGGGGCAGGGCATTCACAGCCCGTGTCAGATCTGTAAGCACACACAGAAAGGGATGAGCATGTTAAAGGTGAAAGTCCCTCTAGCTCCATCCCTCCTCCCCCAGCCCAGGCCAACTCCTCACCTGCAAGATTGATGTTGGCTGGGGTAGCATTGATGGAGGCAGGTGTCCGGGTCCTGCTGCTACTACTGGGGGTGATGCCTACAGGAAATGGCTTAGTTACATCCCTTCTGAAACCTACATCTGGCTTCCCAATTCAGGGAGCTAGAAGAGGCTCTGAGGCAGGTGGAGGGAAGAAGGGAGCTGCATAGGCACAGCGGAGAACCTCCCTGATGCTAGGAGGCTGGGGTGCAAGTAGGATAGCTGCCATGACAGCCCATGCCTTGCCCTCTCCCCCAGAAGGCCTGTGATTATGCTGAGTCAGGCTCCATACCTCTGAAGTCAGAAGAGTAGAACTCACCTGGTACAGGATCCTGGTAATGATCCTTAAACCATCTAAAGAGTCCATTCACAGTTGGAAAGATTTGGCCTCGGTACCGGAATCCTTCTGGGGTCACTGTTACATATTCTATCCTGGGATTTTAGAAGAAAACATGCATCAGATACCGCGTGGGGCCAGCCAGGAGAGAGCGACCAGAACAGATGTCCACCATGTGAAATAGCCATACTGGGTGCTAGGGGAAAGGAGAGATGATAGAGCCAGTCCCTGGCCCTATGAAGGGAGGCTGCCCTCCAAGTAGGGAGGTGAGCAGCAGATAGCAGAGTACGGTCAAGGCTAAAAAGTTGGCAGCCCCGTGTGCTATATACAGGCTGCCAGAGGAAGGCTTGCTGGAGGGTCGCCACCATGCTGGCCTGCAGTATGAAGGTGGTATACCGCAGGTGAGGTGAGTCTGGAGCCCCAGAATGCCAGGGTTAGAAGGGACCCCCAGGGTAGCAAAGTACAACTCCCCATAAGCAGGAGTCCTTCTGCAGTGGCCCTGGAAGGTGAATTAGTCTGCCCTTATTTGACACTTCTGAGAGCAGCAGAGTGGTTAAGAGGATGGGCTCTGGGTTAGTTCTGGTTCTAGTTCTAGTTTGAGCTCTGCCACTCACCACCCATGATACTTTGCACCAAGCTACTAAATCTGAACCTCCGATTCATTTGTAAAATGAGGATAACAGCACTTTAACCTATAGAGTGGGTGTGAGAATAAAATGAGACAGTGTACGTAGAGCACTTACCATAACGCCTAAACAGAGTTGTGCTCAAAAAAGGATAGCCATCAACGGCCAACAGACTGTGCTATGAATTACAAAGTTCTCATTTGTATTAAGCTAAAACCTGCTCCCGACACCTCCTACATGTGTTAATTCTGCCACACAAGGAAAGTCTGTGCTCCTTTCCACGGGAAGCTATATTGGATCTGTTGCTGCTTAGAGGCTCCCAGTTCGCTCAACTGTTCATCATGGGACACAGTTTCCAGCCCACACAGCCCTGGCTGCCATCATCTGGAAGCAAGTTGGTGAGTCAGAATAGGCTTCTCAGAAATGAACACAATATTCCAGATGTGCCTAAGACAGCACAGGGTCCAGGGTCTAAGATTTCTTGTCATCTAGCTACTAA